CGGGCAATGCCCGCGTCCCACCCCACCTCCTTTTCGGGCCCTGCCGAGCGCCTGCACAAGCTCCAGTGCCGCACCAGCAACAACACCAGTAACGGTTCAGTGCCAGTTTATGTGATGTTGCCCCTCGATACTGTGTCGATGAATGGTGGAGGAGTGAATAGAGGAAGGGCGATGAACGCGAGTTTGATGGCGTTGAAGAGAGCCGGAGTTGAAGGAGTGATGGTGGATGTTTGGTGGGGGCTGGTGGAGAAAGAGGGGCCCATGAAGTACAATTGGGAGGGGTACGAGGAGCTGGTGAAGATGGTGGAGAGGAATGGGTTGAAGATGCAGATGGTTATGAGCTTTCATCAGTGTGGTGGCAATGTTGGCGATTCTTGCAGGTGCCCTTTTGACTTTTTTTTTATTTTGTTTGGTTTTGGGTAATTATGTTGATGGCTGTGTGCTTTTAGATTTAATTTTTGGTTGAAAATTAAAATAAAATAATGATTTCTGAAAATGTAACTCTTCACATGATTGGATTTTTATGGTTTTATGGCTAATTCTATGGATTATGGATTTCTCTACAGATTTCTTTTTTTTTTGTAAGTGAATAAATTATGTATTCTAGCTATGTGAGTTATATGTGAACTTTTTACTTCTAATTTTTATACTGGGTGCTTTCTGAAGCAAGGTACAAAACAGATTGATGATTGTGATATTATTTGGGAAAGCGGTTTGTGCAGACAGGTATTAGACTTTGGGAGGCAAAATATAGTTCTTTTTTCAAGGTGGTTCCAATTCAAAATAAAAATAAAAATCATTTCAGTTATATTATTCATTTTAGATTGTTAACTTTGGGTATTTTCAAAGCAAGGTAGAATTAGGTTGATGCTTTGTCTATTTTTAGATTAAGCTTGCAAGAAATGAAAATTTTAAAAAAGAGTGCTTTCTAAGAGATGAAACTTATTTTAAAGAATTATCTGGATTTTGTTGTCAGAAACCCAATTTTATGTTTATTTTGTTCAGCTTAGAAAGGATTTCTGTCTTCTGATGCTAGATACTAGAATTGTATGGCAGCCATTTGATGGTTTTAACTAAAATTTTAATGGCTTTAACTAAAGTAAAAGTATTTACATCCTGAAACTGATAAAAAAAAAGTGTATTGAAAAATGCTGCTGAACTCATATATGATATTTGCAAATGTATTAGCATCTTATTTGAAGAAAAAAAGAAAAATCTATTAAGTACCTTATTTCAAGAAAGAATGTTTTGTACGCAAACTTTAAACCAGAGGCATATCTATTCTTTCTCTGTTACCGAAGAAACCTGTAACTGAAACTTGCACTTCACAAAATCCAGTTGGGGCCAGCAAGGGCATAAAACATAGCTCCATAGAAAATAAAGCAACAGAATATTCTTTCTTGTACTCAATTGTTTGCTTGACTTCTTTAGCCAGAATCCAATGGCTCAATTCCCCCAAAAAAAATTAAAAATAAAAAAATAAATCCTTGTGAAAGGGGGAGATACCCAGTGACATATCCACAACTTCATGATATCTAGCAATCAACCCTCTTACCAAACACTATCAAAGAGCTAAATGATCCACGCGCATCTTGATTCTATTTAGGGTTAATTGCACGTATACCCTTTGTAGCCGTGCATTTTGGAACTCACTATCCCTATAGTTTGATTTTCGCAGGTAGACCCTGGTGAATCTTTTTGACTCCCTTACCCTAAGATGGACTTATTTAATTTTAGCCACATTATCTGCCAAGATTTCACCCAGGATAGAAGAGTCAAAAAAATTCCCCAGGGTATATCTGCCAAAATCAACTTTATTACTATATTGTATATACCATGACAAACAATTACTTCAGAAATCTGAGAGATTCAGCTTCAGTAGTGAAAGATTTAACACTTCCAATGGAAATATTTTTGCAGCATACCATTACCTTCATGGGTCCATGAGGAGATGAGCCATAACCCGGATATCCTGTACACAGACAGGTCAGGCAGAACAAACCCTGAATACATCTCTCTCGGATGTGACATGCTCCCTGTACTCAAAGGAAGAACTCCAATTCAGGTCTACTCTGATTTCATGCGAAATTTTCGTGATAGGTTCAGCGAGTACCTTGGCGATGTGATTGTGGTGAGTACTAAGTCTCAATTCCTTTTGTTCAACTTCATTATTAGTATTCGTCGTTTTACCTGACTGAAGATTTTGATTGGGTGCAGGAAATTCAAGTGGGATTGGGTCCCTGTGGAGAGTTGAGATACCCGTCTTATCCTGAGAGCAATGGGACTTGGAGATTTCCCGGGATTGGAGAATTCCAATGCTATGACAAGGTAATGTTCAAAAGCTGCAAATTTGAATCAGAGAAACTAATATCAGTCATGGTATTGAAATCTTAGCAGATAAAGAATTATCAATTCATAATGGTTGTGTAACTTGTGTTGATACCTGAAGATATTCGGATTCCTTTCCTGCACAACAAATTTTCGAGAACTTAAAGTGAATAAGCTGAATATCATAAGTACTTATATTGAAATGTTGCCAGATACACAATTTTCTGATAATTGTTTTCCTGTTGTTTGTGTGAAATGTGTTTCCATGAAAGCTCCTGTTTCTTCAATATGAAAGATCAATAGGGTTTGTCTGAACCATTTTTATCTGAAAGATGAAAATGTTGGCAAGTGAAGAAACAATATAGGTTAAGCTAACATACTTTGCAAAACTTCCTCTCATGTGAGCTGTTCTAAAGGCTCAATTGGAAAGATAGCAAAAAAATTAGGTAAATAAATAGTTTAAAATTTTTTTTTTTGTAATGAAGTTTGAACCAAATATATTCATGTAATGTTAAACCAAGAACTTAAACTGTTACAGATAGATTAATCATTAATATGCATACCAGACAAACATAATCCCTAACAAATTTGAAGTACACAAGTTTAAGATTATATGTGACACCACTGAACTTACATGCTCTTAATCCTATAAATACGCCACAATTTCCAGTACAGTTTGGGAAATTTTCTAACTCAATTTACACTCTTCTCTCAACCAGTACATGAAAGCATGTCTACAAGCATCAGCCATCGCAGTTGGACAGAATGAATGGGGCAGAGGTGGACCTCATGACTCCGGCAACTACAACCAGTTCCCCGAAGACACAGGTTTCTTCAAAAGAGAAGGAACATGGAACACAGACTACGGAAATTTCTTTCTCGAATGGTACTCTAAGAACCTCTTGGATCATGGAGATCGCATATTATCCTCTGCTGACACTATCTTTCAAGGCACGGGAGCCAAATTATCTGCAAAAGTCGCAGGAATCCACTGGCACTATCATACTCGGTCTCATGCTGCAGAACTCACAGCAGGGTACTATAACACAAGAAATAAAGATGGATATGTCCCAATAGCACAAATGTTGGCAAAATATGGTGTTGTATTGAATTTTACATGTATGGAGATGAAAGATGAACAACAACCCAGGCACGCTAATTGTGGGCCCGAGCTTTTGGTTCGTCAGGTTAAGGCAGCAACCAAAGCAGCTAGAGTTGAGTTGGCAGGAGAGAATGCATTGGAGAGGTACGATGAGTCCGCATTCTCTCAGGTCATGTCAACGAGTAGAGCTAGTGATACTATCGGGTTGAGCGCATTCACTTACTTGAGGATGAACAAGAAGTTACTTGATGGGGAGAACTGGAGAAATTTCGTAGGGTTTGTGAGGAGCATGTCTGAAAGCGGGAGGAGGGTATCACTGCCAGAGAGTGATTCTACACATTCTGATCTCGAGGTAGGTTTATAACCAAGGGAAAGAGGAATAGACAGGATGAGCTCCGTCGCGAGCGCATAAATGTAAATATGCAAGCGTATGTATTATGTATAGATCAGATTAGGAGAAAAAGAATATTTGTTGCAGTTATTTGTCCTGCTGCAAGCGATACAAATAAATTGGAACATGAGTAGCAATATGATAAGAATGATTACTGTAGTTGTTTTTGTTGTAAATCCTGAAATGAATTTGTCTCAATTTCAGAAGGAATGGATATATTAAATCCAACTACTTTTTGTTGTAAATGCGTACACCAGTTGTACTTGTTTGTGCTATAAATCCTGAAATGAATTTTCTCAATTTCAAAAGGAATGGATATATTAAAGTGAAATCCGAAGTATCTTTTGTCGGTTCTCTAGCATTTACCGTTCAGCATTTTGTGGATCTCTCTTGGTTATTTATGGTTTGTAAGCCTAATGAAAACTCTCAAATTCTGTCAGGTGAAGATGTCTGGAAGAGCTCATAGTTTCTTTTGCTTAATTTGTGTGTTTAGATTTCCTTGCTTATTGTATTGCATGTAGCAGATTCTTTTTAGTGACTCCAACTACATCCGCAGATAATTTGCTTCTATTTAAACTTGGTTTTTTGTGCCAATCTATTTCAGTATTTCTCCTTTGAATAATTATCAGTTTGCATGGACTGTCATTGTTTTTGTGCCTTTATTGGTTAAAATCATGTTTCAAAATATAGTGGTTTACTCGAGAGATGACTACCAAGGACGAGAAATACTAGATCACACAACGTAATTGCACAATCGCACAATAGTAACAAGCACAACACATTCAGGTATAACGTCTTCCAGCACTCTAGGCCCGTGAAAGATGCACCATAATGAAGACGGTAACAAAAGGTTACGTCTTTCGTAAATACTAGTCCTTGAATCCCAAAAGAAATGATATTTCAAATGCCTTATTAAACTCTTTAACTAAAAGCTCTCTAAGTCAAGACGAAAAGAATCTCCAAGGTCAATCTGAATCTTCCAGAAAAGAAAAGTCATCAATAAAAAGCTCAAGTAATTTTATTAGTCATTCAAAACACATGTCAAACTTATCCATTCACAAACACAACACACGACCGTTTTGCTAGAAGGCAACATTGTTGGATTGTTTGATCAACTAGTTGACCAAATCCATCATTCATATTTTCCACAATGGAAGTTTGGTTTGCTGACACATCCATCGTTGATCACTCTTTCATTCATAATATTCTAATGAGAATACTCAAGGTATCAATCCAACAATTTCTCCATTTTAGAAGATTTTCCTCTTCACCATCTCCACAAAGCATATTGAGGCTCCATCTTCATAAAAACCAAGCTATTCAAGCAATTGTTAATCTTGCACACAAAAATGACCTCCATCAATGTGTCAATCTTATTATCTGTAGCTCTTAGATAAAATAGTACTTTAACATTAATATACTTAGTCTTATAATAATATGTTTGATCCTACCTCTATACCTTCTGTTACTTCCTATAATTGCTCCGAACATTTTTAGACCTTGTTTAGGTTTAGCTTTTTAAAAATTAGTTGGCGAAATCAAGGTTGATACAGGTTCAAACCGAAAAATCAGGAGGGTATTATTACGTATATACCCTCCAATTCAGCTTGAAGTTACTTATATCACAACTGCTAATTTATCTTCCAAATTTCAGTCAACTCTCAATTTTACATTCCATCCAAAATACTATTAAATTTATAACAGTAAATGGATAAAGAGATTATTTTAACCTCGGCCCTTACTTTTTACTAATTCCTGAACGGACATCATCACCAACTTATGGAGTATAAAATTCTTATCTGAACAAAATTTTCTAAAAGGAAAACTCAACAAACATATTCCAATTATTTTGATGTCCCTAAATGGTTCAGCAAAGGAAAATGTGAATTGTCCTGCTAGAAAAATGAAAATTCCTGGAAGTATACAGCTTTGTGGAAACAACTTTCTTTCTTCCCAGAATCATTGCACAATGAAAATATATTATAGCCCCTGAATGACACGCTTCCAGCTTGATCCTTGAATCTTAACAGCAGTTATTCAGCATTAGCTTCACCATAATCTATAGATGAACGAGAGTCGATAAATTCTTGCCCGCCATATGGCCATAGATGTATGTCTAATCACATGTGCGACACTTCTATTTCACTGGTTATCATCCCATACTCAGCATTGGTTTTTTGAGATATCCCCTGGCTTTATACAAAAACCATCAGTACCATAAACCGACATTGGTATTGTGTTGTTCAATGCTGCATACAATTGTTTCAGATCAGTTTTTTTTTTTTTTTTTTTTTTTTGTTTCTCAGGCATGTGAGAAGGCCATACACATGTTTATTTGATAAACTTAAAAGTGATACCACATAAATTTTTCTCTATCAACTACAAACAGTCAAGAGCATTACAGCTAACCATTTCAAGTCTACTTCTCTTAGAATCCAAAATCCAAATCGTTCTGTTATGTACTAGCATTACAGAATAATACAATAGAAAGAGATCCTCTTCATAAGTGTGTATATTTATCCTAGCCAAAGAAAGTGGTCATTCTTTAATACATGCTTTCCCTTAAGGACTTGAGAATGGAAGCAATCAGGTCAGGCAACAACTAAGAAAGCAACAGATCTCCAGCAAAGATAAGATAAATGACATAAGAAATCTGAAATAGAAATTCACCTACATTTTATTCAATTAAAATGACTAAGAAAAAAACTGCTAGCTGTCAATAAAGATTTATTAATCTTAGGAAAAATTTAAATCAACCTACAACTATTGCTTCAAACAAGATAAAAGTATTGAAGCTGTAACAAATAGTACAACAATAGAACTTACCTCCTCAGTCACAATGATCACCTCTAACTGATCCTTTGATAAGAGGAACTGAACTACTGAAGAAATCCCTCAGGTAAAAAATAGGATGGAAGAACAAAAATACCTTCCATCAATCTACATTATTTTCCACAAACTTCTATGAGTTCTTATGTTTGATCATCCAGTTCTCGTATAAAATTGAGCTGGAGAAGTTCTGATTAATTTAACCAGATCCTGTATGGGATACCGCATTCTGTCTTCACACCATTTCACAATCATACATATCTTAGTCCCATAAAGAAAGAAGCAACAGAATGGTATATACAACTGGTCTCAACCCTAAGCTTCAGGCCTCGATAGCTTCTTCCAGATCAAAATGTTCAAAGTTCCCTGACATTTTAGAAATGATGTGAAGATTGCTATCCAATCAAAAGCAATTTAGATGGATGCAAATCCTTATGCAAGGCCTTGTCATATTAAAGTTGGTGCTTCGCAGCAACCTCATGGATGATAAAGGTCTTAAGCCTTCATCCGAAAACAATTTCTGCATTCCCAGAGGGACACATTTATGAACACTACGTCACATCCATCATACTGGAAGACTTGCGGAAACCATGATCAATGATGCTGGATATCATCAATAATCTCGAATTTGGAGGTTCATTTCTAAGTAAGAAATCATATGTAATGTGCAAAAGAAAGTCTAGGAGCAAAGTTTTACCAGAGTCTAGCATAGATACATCCGCTATCTCTTGCTTATCACGAGCCCAGCTCAATATATTTTCTGTGGCATCATCGAAGATGAAGGATACCTCACTGAGCTTTTTCTCCCACATCAATGCTCTTTTAGCCATCTTTTGCTTGCAGAAATGAGAGAGTATAAGGTTAACGGTGATAGCGTTGGGTACAAAGGCCATCTTAAGCAACTTCCCAGTCATTATAATAGCACGATCAAGAACATCAACGCAAATTCCGTTCATCACTGTGTTGCAAGTTACTGAATTAGGAACTAGACCAACTGAGACGAGCTCATCAAGCTTCCCCATTGCTTCACCCATAGTATGGCTACAGCAGAGAGCATGGATCAATATGTTATAAGTGAAGATATCTGGTTCCCAACCTTCTAAATGCATTCTGTTAAGGAAATTCACAGCACTTCCTAGATCAGAATCCTTGCAATACGCACTGATGAAAGTATTGTAAGTCACTATGTCAGGAACCATGCCATTCGCATATGTCTCCTTCAGCTTGTAAATAGCTTTGTCCAACATTCTCTCCCTGCAGTATCCATCAATGATTATATTGCTAGTGAAGATATCAGGAACAAGTCCACTCTCCCTCATCTCCCACTCCAATTTCAACGCCTCTTCTACATTACCAATCCTACAAAGTCCCGAAATTAGAGAATTGTAAACAAAGTTATTAGGAATTAGTCCTCTTCTACCCATTTCATAAAAGGCATCTAGTGCCTCGTTCGCATAGTTAGCTCGGCAAAAGCCATTTATGTAGGCTGAGTAGGCAATTACATCAGGATAAATACCTTGTCTCTCCATCTCATCCCAACAATTTCGAGCCCCACCAACATCCCCTGCCCTAAAATAGCTAACTATACAAATTGTGTAAGCTGATAAATTCACACAAAATCCCCTCTCAACCATTCTATCCATCAGTTCTTGGGGTTCATCCAACCTCCCGCTCTTGCATAATCCAATAAGCAAAGAATTGCAAGTGGCAGCTGAAGGTGAAAGGCCATTTTCAACCATTACATGGTAAAACTTTAGAGCCTCATCCACCATTCCCCTTTTGCTATAGGCAGCAATGATCGAGTTAAACCTAGCAATGCTCCCTGGCACTCCATCCTCAATCGCACATTGTAGCCACTCTCGTGCATCCTCTATCTGCTCATTCAAACAATAGCTTGAAACCAACACATCCAACCTTGACTCTTCAGGTAAAACTTCAAGGCTCAACATGTGGTTCATCAATTTCCTGCTTTCTCCCCTCCAATCCCTCCGGAATTTAGAGTAGCCAGAAGAAAGAATGTTAAACGTATAGCAATCTGGCACCAAGCCTCTCACCTTCATCTCTCCATAAACCTCTTCGGCCTTTTCAAGCTTTCCAGCCTTAACATACCCACTAATAAGAGCATTATATGTAATTGTGTTCCCCTCGATCCCCTCTCTCTCCATCTCATCGAACAACCCTCTCGCATCCTCAACTCTCCCTTCTCTACACAAAGCATCAACCAATATATTATATGTCACAACACTCGGCGAGTAACCCCACTGAAGCATTAACGCAAACACCTTAAATGCGTCCCCAGTCCGCCCCACCACACAATGCGCCTTAACCACAATATTAAAACTACAAGCATCCGGCTCAAGATCAAATTTTGACATCAACCCAAGTAGCCCCAACGCAATCCCAACAGACCCTTTTCGGCAAAACCCTAGAATCATGGCATTGAATGTCTTCAAACTCGGGCACGGCCCTTTAGCCAACATATCTTTAAACAAGTTCCAAGCTTTAACCTCTTCACCTACCCGAAACAGCAGTCTAATCAAAAGAGCAAGCGCCGACAAGCTTGGAGTGAGCCCACACTCTCTCATTCTGTTAACAGTCTGTAGAGCTTCAGAAGGCATTTTGGCACCGAGAAATGCTCGAAGCGAGAGGTCAAGAGCCGAATAGTAGGACTTGTCGCAGCTGTGGAGGTGGGCCCAAGACAGGAGGTCGGAAGCGGCGGTTCCGCCGCCGC